TTATCTCCTCTGAGAACATTTTAAGTGAGTAAGAATAAAATGTGGAGTCTGGACTCGTCTTCAGATTGGGCAGAAGATAGGTTCCCAATAAGGTGAAATGACTTTCAGCTCACCCATTTAGCATCATGAATAATGAATGTAAAGGGTCATCGAACCATTCGTGGATTTGCTTTGCCTTCAGAAAACTTCTCTGTTTAGTTGGGGAGAGAACTATAGAACAAAATAATGAAATATTGGTTTATTCCAAACCTTTGATCCACCAGAAGGATCATTGGTGGTTGAGAGTTAAGCATTATTGGATGACAGTTTCACTAGAACAGGCTAAATTCATATAATGCATATTTTGGAACAGTTAGCAAATTTGATAAGTGTGTACCTGAACTAGACCTTAAAAGATTTGAAAAACATGGAAAAGAATACAGAGTATAGTTTTTTCCTTGTTTTTTGTTTGTTTTGCTTGTTGACAGGGTCTCACAGGCTGCCCTTGAACTCACTATCCTCCTGCCTCAGTCTCCTGAATGCTGGGAGGTGTGCACCACCATGCTCAGCCCAAAGGTATTTTAGATGGAATATGAAAAAAAAAAAACCTGCCAATCTGTTGAGGTACAATAATCTGTATAATTCAATCTCAGTTAAAAATAAAACCAAACAAAATGTGTGTATTGAGTTTGTATTGCACAGCTGTAGGTTTGGTTTCTTATAAAGAAATTGCATTCTGTCTGCATACTGTAGTAATTAACAACATGTGACTGTGAAAATATGCCCAATAAATGCAATAGTTAAGAAATATGTGATTTGGAAAATTATGAAGTTCTTAATGGAAGCTGAAGGGATGGTTTTGGATGTGGTGGGAAAGTCTGAAAGAGCCATTTGGGTACTTTATGTTCTGATAGAGCAATAAGTTGTTAAAGTTTCATTTTGGCTCAGGAGGTTTTTGTGAAAATCATGATTTTTATATTTCACTAGCAAATAAATACATAATTTATGATTTATACATAATTATTACTAAAAGTGAAATTACTGCTGCCTTCATTCTATATTATATACTATGAATTAAATTCTCCTTTTTTTCAGCTATAAAATTTAGGAGCAAGGATAAACTTTTTCAAATTAAAAAGAACTGAAGATAGAAGAGAAAATGAACTGGAGTACTGTAGTTGAAAGCAAAATGACATTTATCAGCCCCTTTCATCTACTGTACCTATTCTGCATACTTCTGATGACAAAATAAATGAAAGTAGTACAGAACTAAGTAGCCTAGTTTGAATTGGGGTAGGAGATGAATTTAAGTATTTTTACTTGATGATGAAATAGAATATTTTCTTCATTGAAGCCAAGTTACAAGGAAGCTGGAGTATTATGAAAGGGGATTAGAAATAGAATTGTATTTGACTTGGTTCTGCCAAATCCATTCTATGTTACTGTGTCTCCACTTGACCCAAGTTGACTTACCAACATTTACTTCCTTACCTGCAGTGATGAGTAAATATGGCAGCAAACACTTTATCACTCTCTTCATCAAGATTTATTACTCTTGTCCTGAGTCTGGGCTGGTCCTGTGACTATTGAACCAATAGGATGCAACGAAAAGTATTTGTGACACTCCCATGGGAGTCTTTTAACAATACTGGCAGTGTGTGCTTCCTGTCTCTGGGAATGGATGCTTCCTCTCAGAACCAGCCACCATGCTGTGAGAAGTTCAAACCACATGGCAAGGCACATGTTGGTGTACTGTTTGACACCTCCAGTGAGCTCCCAGCTGATACTTGACTTCAGCTGCTGGTCATATGCATGCATCATCTTAAGTGAATCAACTAGATTGCCTCTCAGCTGATTGCAGCCCCAGCTGGCATGAAATGGAGCAGAAGAACCATTCAGCCGAACCCAGTAAACCTAGGTTTACTAGAGAGACCTAATAAAATGGTTGTTGTTTATGGTGGTTGTTATGTTATTTCAGGGCAATTTGTTTCACAATAATACAAAATGGAAATAGCTTCCCAAAAGGACTCTTAGAACTGACACTTTCAAAGAGTTCATTTTACTTAAACTATAAGTAGATGATATTTAAATGGCCTACATTTAATCCTTGTAACTAACATCTGAAAATCACTAGGCAAAATTTTAGAAGGCTTTTATTTTGAAAACTAGGCACTTTTAAGTTGTCAGCTATATTGGGCAAACCCATATCATTGTTATGCTCTCTGGTTCACTTATTGTCCCATTGGACTGATATGTAAAAAATATGTATAGATATAGTCTTTTGATTAAAAAAGAAAAGGAGTGTTTCCTGAAGGAATAGCATAAGTCAGACCTTCTTCAAATCCTGGCCCTGTTATTTAATGATTTAGTCCCTGGCTCAATTACCAAGGTTACCTGAGCCCATGCTTCTTTATTTTTAAGGTAATATGGACCACGCAGGATTAGCAAATATCAGAAATAATGTGTGTAATGAACTTAGCAGAATGCCTGGAGAATAGGTAGAGCTCTCAAAAAATATAGGTTTTTGTTGTGAAGGAGGTGATTATAAAAAGTTTTTAAAAGATAGTAAGAAAGTGTCTCATTTCATGTTTCTAAGAGGACATAGAATTATGGATTCTCTTGGGTTTTATTAGGGTGGAACTCAAAGGGTTAAAAATGTCATGTCTTTGCAGCTCCTTCTACAAGCATTCATGTTTTCTTCAAAGGAAATGTCTGATGTAGCTCCATGCACAGTACCTTTCCTCCTTACACTTTTATTGCTGTGAATGATTTGATGAAGGGGTAAAAGCAAGTTCTGGTTCCTGGTTCCCAGGGTAGAACTAATGGAGCATTTCTTTTATTCTTAATCTCCTGTCCTGCTCTCTTTCCCCAATTACCTTCATCTTCCAAGTTAGTGGGGAAAACAACTTTATAAGAAGCTGGCTCTCTGAAAGCTGTCTTAGCACCATGGTGCCCCAAAGTTCATGAAATATATTTCCAGGGAGGAAACACAGACATTCCAATGCCTGACATGTATAGGGTAGGACACAGTAGTGTGGCAGCCTGTAGGAGTCTGTCTCTGATGTTTTGTTGTAGCCTTTGTTTAATAATATTTGTTTTTCTTTGTAAGTATTGAGAATATTTCTCTGTAGCTTGTAATGACAACTAGAGCAGTGCTCAGTAACTTTTTTTTTTTTTTTTTAGTCTGCTGAATATGTTTGCTCGATTAGGGTGACATAAATATTTGCTGGGTTGAGGTTAACCAGCATTTTTCAAAACTGTGGGTGACTTGGGGCCACCTAAGCCCCATTTTGGTCTTTGAAATTTAGATGACCTTGACCACAAATGAATTGTCAATGAATATAATATTGGGGTAGAATTGATTAATTCAGTGCCATATATTAAATTGGGTTATCTTTGAAGGAATCATTAATTACCTTAGTTGAAAGTTGAGCATTTACTTACTTGCATAATTTTTCAATATTTAAATGCATATCGATTATGAGGATTTTAAGAAATATTAATTGCCTTAATAGATTTTCTACACCATAAAATTCCATGTCCATCACTTTGTTAAAAGAGCTCTCATTGCTTTCAAATCAAATAGGTGAAGCTAGAAAATAAGTATAGGAATTATTGTAAAATACTGGTTACTGGTACATATATGTAAGTTATATAGAGGTGAACTTCAGGATAACACATTTTGTCCATAAGCTTGTCATAGTCATTGTTACAATTATGCAAATTAATTCAGGCTTTTGTTGTTGTTACTGATAGCACTGAAAACATAGCTTAAAATATTAATATCCATTAAGTCATTTATAATTATGGAGTAATATCATCTTGAAGGAAATCATAATATTCTTATCTCCTACCATTTGAAGCTTAAATATATTTGAAAGCACTGGAGACAGTGTACTGTATAAAATATAATGTGTTTAAAGCAGATTTTCTCAAGACTCAAATGCTAAATTTCAGTGCTTCTGGGACTCCACGTGAAGATTTGCAGAGAATTTTTAAGACACAGGGTAAATAGAATGGTTCCTCAGATCCCATTTGGATGTCCAGTACTAGGGAAGTGTGGATCCAAGGTTCAGAGGCATAGAGTACACACTATAACATGAAATAGAAGCTTCCCAGGAGCCTGCCTTCTCTTTTAAAAGCACAATGCCTTTCTTCTGGTCTTTTAAGGACTGCTATTTCAAAAGAAAAAAAAAATCAGCACGGAAACTATCTGTAAGGTAGAGCTACTGAAACCTGACCCAAAAGGCATGCTCTTATAGAAAACTCTTTTTGATACTTGCAGTGCGGTTATAGCTGAGGACATGTGGTATATATTACCAGCGTCCAGAGAATTCTAACCTCCGCAGTGTGGAGTCACAATGAAAGGCAAATTTAAAAATGAAGAGGTAGCCCTTGTTCCCTCACTCTGTTACTTACCAGTGTTTCCTGTCACCTTGGCAGTAGTCTAGTCTGCTCTTGGTGGGACAAGGGAATTGGAAATTTAAAGGACAGGGATATATGGGCTTCTCTTCTCTCCCTCCAATGCATATTCAGCATTTTACAAAATCATACATAGTCTTCACAGAAAGGGCTAAAGACAGAGCTGTCCATGGTTAGAAAACAGTGTTCAAACTGTTGGTTGAAAAATCAGGCAATGACAATCTTGTTGATGAACAAAACTTATTAGAGGGCTGGCTGGGGAAGGGATGCTCTCACTCAGCAGCAGGCAGGAAGAAATTGCTGTTGAAAGGCGCACCTCTCTGGGGAGGAATCAGATATCAGACTTTGCCAAGCCTCAGGTCCAACCCAGAAGGTCCCACCTACATCCCCCGCCCCATCCCAGCTTTTGTTAGATTGCTAGCATCGATCGCTGGCTTTTTCTGACCCCACAGTGGGTGAAGGAAAGAGAGCCAGCAAGACTAAAAGCAAGCAAGGTGGGGGAAGTGTGTGTGGAGGGGGTGTTGGAAGACTGGGGCTGCTTTTGCAAAAAAAAAAAAAAGAGAGAGAAAAGGGGTGGGGGCCATGGGGACCCAGCTTAACTGCTGTCTGCCTGCTTCTCTTTGATTTGATGGCCTTTATTCCTTCTAATTGAATAAAATAGGAAGTCACTGGCAGTCCTGTGTTGCTGGGTGTACAGTACTGATTTCACTCAGACCAGCCAGCAGCACAGAGTGGGGATAGAGGGGCGGGGAGGTGGGGGGGACTGGGAGAAAAGGGAGGAGAGACAGGAAAAAAAGAGAGAGAGAGAGACGGAAAGAGGGGACTCATTTGGGATGGGGAGAGGAAAGAAAAAGAGACTGGGAAGAAGGAAGCCCTCAGAGGAAGAAAGTGACTGAGCGCTCAGGAAGGACAAAGAGGGTGGGGGTGGAGGCAGGGCGGGGAAGGGAGTCACCGCCCCTCCTGGCCGCAGGCTTCCCTCAGATCCCTGTGTTTGCAGTGATGCTTGGAGGGCAGGCACCTGCTGCTCTGTAATGATTCAGCCTCTTTCAGCCGCTGCGTTAACACAACAGGATGCTGTTGCTACTGTCACTGCTGCCTCTCCTGCCGCCGCCGCTGCTGCCGCCGCCGCCACCGCCGCTGGTCCTGCTTTTGCTTTTACTTCTGCTGCATGACAGTTGTTTTCTTCATCTGAGCAGACAGCAGCTTCAGATGCTCGAGGTGAGGAACATGCCTTTCAGTTTGGGCTACTGGTTTACTTAATTAACCAGCCATCGGCTGTGTTTCTAGTTTGGCCCTTGTCCTCTGGACCAGCCGGGATGGTTTGGAGAAGCATTTAAAAGAACTGGAAAAGTGGCCCAGAAACAACAGCTAAAGAATTATTACGATATACTTTTATTTTGTAGTTGCTCGGAGCTTTTTCTTTCTTTTCTGTTTTTCTTCTTCCTCCTGAATTCCTCTTGCTTTTGATAATGGCCCTGGACTTGGACGACTTATCGATTTCCCCCTCTAAGATGCTGTATCATTTGCCTGGGGGGGGCTCTGCATGGTAATGGACGGTGAGAGAGGCCAGGCCTTCTGGAGGTGAGCCGATGGAGATTTATTCCCCAGACATGTCTGAGGTAGCTGGCCAGAGGTCCTCCAGCCCCTCCACTCAGCTGAGTACAGACCCATCTCTTGATGGGATTCCCGCAGCTGAAGACATGCCAGAGACCCAGACTGAAGATGGGAGAAGCCCTGGACTTGTGGGCCTGGCCGGGCCCTGCTGTGTGTGCCTGGAAGCTGAGCGCCTGAGAGGTTGCCTCAACTCAGAGAAGATCTGCATTGTCCCCATCCTGGCCTGCCTTGTCAGCCTCTGCCTCTGCATTGCTGGCCTCAAATGGGTGTTTGTGGACAAGATATTTGAGTACGACTCTCCTACTCACCTTGACCCTGGGGGGTTAGGCCAGGACCCTATTATTTCTCTGGATCCAGCTGCTGCCTCAGCTGTGTGGGAATCATCTGAGACATACACTTCACCTGTCTCTAGGGCTCAATCTGAAACTGAGGTTCAAATTACAGTACAAGTTGACAATGTTGCTGTATCCTCTGAATCTTCAGCAGCACCAACCCCAAAGCATCGGCTTTCTGCTTTTTCTTCCCGGCCGTCCTCTGCATCCAACTTCCCTTTACCCACTCGGAACCCTGAGGTGAGAACACCCAAGTCAGCAACTCAGCCACAAACAACAGAAACTAATCTCCAAACTGCTCCTAAACTTTGTAAGTAGAGAGAGAGAGATGACGATGAATGAAGGGAATGGTGGGCTTGAGCTCCGGAAAGGAAAGGTGTTTTCTAGAGTGCTAGCTGTTCCTTTCTTCTTGCATTTTAATTGTGTGGTTTTGTTTGAAAGAATCATGTGACTGAGATGCTTGGGGTGGCTTTGAAAAGACAAGTAAAAAAATCTTGTAAACTCCTGGTATGAATCAATCTTTTAACAGCAGCTCCTCCTAGCCAGAGGTGAGAGATCCAAAACTTCAGTGTCTGCAAAATCATGCTTGAATTTAAGTGAAATTCCATTTACTTTTAACATTTTAGAAATGAAAACACCAGACCATCATTTATTCTTAAGAATGTGACTTCTGTATGCAAATGAGTATTATTTGGTATTTTTCTTTTTCCTCCCTAGAGACTTTCTAGTGCCTTTTGGTTACCCTCTCCCTCCCTGCAGCACAGCTGCCTGTTATCTTTCTCTTTCTCTTCTTCCTGTTCCCTCTCCACTCTCCCCATCTTTGTATTTTACTTGTTTCTTCCCATACTGCAGCAAATCAAGACATTTGACATCAAATCAGGACAATTGCTGCCCTACCTTGGTGGTACTTTTGGTTACTAAGCACTGATTAGGGCAGTTTTATTTTGTTCAAGACACACTACAGTTCACATGAAGGGATTTTCCCAAATTAGTTTTGTCTTCTATAATCCCATATTTAAATAGCTTCCTTGCCAGTCATTAAAAAGTACAGATCCATTAGTAAGGTACCTCATTGTTTTTAGACATGTGTCATTTTACCCTGTCAGGTTGTAGCAACCCGGTTTAATAACCTCTGAGTGAAGAGACTCCACGCTCTTAAAACAATAAGAACACTATATTGCCATTTGCACCAGCTCATTGCAGTACTCTATAATGGAAAGTTGACAGGAATGAAACCATGACTCGTCAAATTATTCCAAACGTCAGTATGGAAGGGAGGAGTTTTTATGGCTTTTTCTTTAAATGCTTTTAGTTTATTTTTGTCTTCTCTGTCCTTTCCCTTTTTATCACTAATGAATATTTACTGAAGAAGAAAAAGTAAAAGGGCAGAGAAGCTGATTCTTAATAACGTATAAAATCTCTTCATGAAAAGAGTTGAAGGTAGAAAACCTGTTATCAAATACCCCTTCTGTTTTCCCTCTAAACTGTGATGAAGAATAAAGAACACCTCCTCCAGACATTTATGTGCAGTTTGAAGTAGTGGTGCAGTATGTTACAGACACAGAAAACTTGATGTGTGCTTGCCATTCAAGATCTTTTCACGCTTACCAGTTTCAAAAAACTTAAGAAAGCTTTTTTTTTTCCCAAGTGTAATTAGGAAAACCTAATTTTATGTAGACAGTGCTTTGTATCTTTATTAAATCCCCAAAGCATCATTAAAAGTCTGACAGACATCACTACATTCACTGCCTCTTTCCCACCTGGCAAAGTGACCCGGGAAATAATACCTAGATGAAATGACAGGCTATAAAAAGCAAGTGCGGATCCTGCAAAGAGAAGCAGAATTCATCATGAATCAAGGTTACTTCTTTGTCTTTATCATTTTAAACATAAGCCTTTAATTAAAATGTGCCTGGATAGGTTGAGTTGCCAAGAAAAAGAAAGATGGCTCTTTGAAAAACTCTTCAACTAAATTCCGTAATTTGGTCATATGATGAAATCAAGCAAATTGAGAAATGTGCCAAACCTTTTCCTCTACCACTGTGTTTTAGAAAGTGGTAGTGAAGTTTTGAGAAATTGTTTTTAAAGGGAAATTCTTCTAAATGTTTTAATAGACTATGCATTGTATATAATCCTTTTTCTTTTTTCTTTTTTCCCAGCCAGGCATTGATTTTGTGGCACTAGCAATAAGTGGGAAAGATTTACTGCTGCCTAAAAGCATCACAGTGGCCAGTTCTGGTCAGAGGCACAGCTGCGACACTCTGAAATGCATGAGGGATAGGGAGTGTGAGAAGCAGTCTCTCCTGAAAAGTTAGAGGCAGATAGTCGAGGATGACACTGTAAAGTCTATCACTTTCTATGGCACACTGTCAATATTTTGAACTAGTACCTAAAAAAAAAAAAAAAACCCCCAAAATTTGAGAGTCAATTTTTTGGGAGGGTGAGGGAATTAGCAACTTTGTTTTCAGGGGCAGGAGATCACTTTTTGTTAAAAAAAAAAGTTGTAATCTTTAAATAAAAGAAAGCAAAAGCAAAAAAAAAAAATGCTTAGACATACTGTAATCTCTTCCATTCTTTTTAACTAAGAAAGTATTATTTGGTTGCAGAAAGAACTGGGGCTTTCTTTTCATCCTGTGTGCTGTGTTTCTGACATGAGCTAAGCTGTCATGGCTTATAGTTTTAAGTGACATTATCATATCTGCAGCATGATTTGCAGTAGGTTCAGGACGTCATTCTCTCTTTCTCGTTTTCATTCTGTCTCAGCAGCTCATGCACAGAGTGTAGCCTTCAAGGTCATAGTCAGTTGAGAACTAATTGATTCTTTCTCCTGGAGCCTGAGAGTATAAGAGCAACAATCCCAGTATTTGTGTCTGCTGTCTTAGTCCCCAGTCGGATTAGGGTTTTATTTTATACATATTAGAATTACTCCCTTCCTCAATGACTCTTGTCAAATTACAACCTTCACTGTCTTTATTACAATAAAAGGCAAAGCATAGCATTTTAAATTGCCCATAGGTATAACGGTTATTTCAGGCTTGAAAAATGAGTATTTATTTCCTAAAATAGTATAATTTCATGTGTGCACCATATTATTCTGTGCATACATGTAGTTCTTAAGAAACATAGTACAAGATTGGAATGAAAATATGTAGTTTTTGTTCTGAAGTTTTGCTATGGGTGATTAGTGGTTTCCTACCACCTCAGTGATTGCATTGTTGTGATGCTAATTAAGTTTTTGGTTTTCACTGAGTCACATTATATTTGAATCATTTATTTTAGTAGTAGTAGTAGTAGTAGCAGTGGTAGTAGTACGTGGTGCTGGGGGTGGAACTCAGGGCTTCATACATGCTAGATAACCATTCTACCACTGGTCTAAATCCCCAGCCCAAACCATTAATTTATTTTCTTTACCTAGACTTTGGAATTTTTCCCACCCTTTATTTATATGGAAAGGACCAATTTTGTAGTTTCAAGCTTAATTACTATAAGAAGAGCTGATTAATTAGATTGCATCCAGGAAACTGTGGTGCCATCTTGAAAGAAAATGTTTTCTGGATCAAAGACCCTGCTTGACAACAGACTCTTGGATACATGAATATATTGGTATTTTTATCTTAGGCCAATTTTTGTTTTGCTTTGTCTTAAATCCATTGTTACCACAATGCCAATATGAACACTCTCAGCTGCTAAAGATCAACAAGAAGAATTGAATATATCAAAGAATTTCCTCCCTTTGCTCTCCTTTAATTCAGTGGATCCCTGGTTCTTCATTACTGTACTTGGAGGTATTTTATAACTATGATTTTAAATAAGTTCACCTTAACCATGTTTAAAGTCCAAGACATTAAAAACTTCAAGGAACTGAAAGAGCGCCAATTTGAAATAAATAATTGAAATAATGAATGAAATTCTTTTACTAAAATTCATTACATTAAATAATTTGTTAAAATCCAGAGTAACAGAAAATAGAGTATCCTGTCCCCCAGAATTTAAGCACATGAATACACACACACACACACACACCTATTTTCTCCTGTCAGATTCTCCCTGTTCTAAGGAGCAGGGAGACAGGAAGCTGGGGAGTAACCCTAGTGGTGCCATCTGACTGATAGGAAAGTACTTCAGCTGGGACCACTAGTGAATTGTGTATCCTTTAATTTCTTCTTGCCTTCATATTTTGCTATTATTAAATTTTCAATCATGGGGGCTGGTGGCATGACTCAAGTGGTAGAGCACCTGTCCAGCAAGCAAGAGACCCTAAGTTCAAACCCTAGTACCACAAAAAAAGAAAATAAAAAATTTTCAGTAGTGGTAGTTTTTCTCCTTTTTATTGGATCACTCTCTCTGTGTTCATTTTTTTTTTTTTTTAATGATTTGGGTTTCCTGGGTGATCTGTCCTGTAACACACAGCAAATGGTTATATGGCTCACCTAGTCCCTTTCACATCCCACTTTGATTTTTTTCCTCCATATTCCTTTGTGATACCAAGATCAGTCTTCGTGTTCTCATTTATATTTTGAAGCTTTCTTATTAACCTAATTATACCATTTTGGCCTTGTAAATTAATATCTCATTGCATAGAGATGCATCTTCACCAGTCTTTTCACATATAAGTATATTAAATTGTATTTTAACACTGAATGGTATTTATACAAATTTACAAACACACATTCAAAAAAAATGTTTGCAGCCAGCCTTAAAAACAAAAAAAAAGTTTCTTTTAGGCACAATTAATTTAAACTTTTTGCCCCTTCTTTATCTCTCCTTCTTTTTCTTAGTGTGTTTGATGCAGGTTTCTGCACTGATTCCTTTATGTGCTTATATATAACAGTATTTATATATTCTCAGGAATCATTATGTCTCAAGCCATATGTCTGTGTTCTTCCTCCTTCACTTTTCCTTCTAATAACACTTCACAGGATCCTTTTAAAGCATGAATGGAGGTATATTTTATAGATTAGGCAACAAAAGCATAAAAAGTTATGGCTTATCGAGAAGCCCCCGAGAACCAAGAATGTAACTCTTGTCCACTGAGTCTATTTAACTTTCTAGAAAACCATAAATTATACCATGTCTACTTTTATGCACGTTTCCACTTTTATTGTTTTTGCTCTAAGTCAACGTCTCACTTTCCTTGTATTATTTCCTTTTTTACCCCCTTCTGCAAATATAGTGCCTACTATGTGCCAGGCACTGTTCCAGACTGGTCATATGACAATGAAAAACTAGAAATCATCCTCATGGAACTTTTGGTCTGAAGGATTTATAGTAATGCAAATCCCACTGCTGCAACCAACAGCAACTAAGTGTCCTTGGGTGGTATGTGTTTGGCTATTGTGGCACTATTTAGTCAAACCACTGGAGTGGTTGTAAAAGTAATGTCTCTCTAATCCTTTGGGGCCCTTTCTTAAGGTATAAAATATATGCATAATTCTTCTAGAATGTAAAGATTTTAAGATTATATTCAAATGATTAATATTGCAATTAAAAATTTTTGATTTTTCTCATTTATTATTCAAGTCTTAATATGTAAAATTTTTACCACTCCATTGAAGATGTCTTCTTCAGAAAAGAGAATTTTATCTGTGTGGTTTTGATAAATCTAGGACCACCTTCTGGAGGTTAGACATCCATCTCTC